GCTCACGCCCCCGCTCCCGGTGCCCTGGCTTGTATGCCCGTCCCCGCCCTGATCGCGCCGTGTACTTCTACTTACTTTCATGCACCTACATTCAACTAGCTGTTTCGGAAAACTCTCACGTATATGGATCAAATATAACCAACTGTATCTCACTTTATTAATTCCAAAGAAATTATAAAGTTCATGTAAAAATTATAGGCAATCGTAATACTAAAAATCACGTCGAAATATTTATTATTTTGATTCTATTGTGCTTGCAACGTGTTAAATGTAATGTGGAATTTATTTAGTTAAGGGGCATAATTATCATGTTCATATTTACAATCATGAAAGTAATTTGCAATATTCCATACTTGAAAATATAGTATTCTTATGTTAGTTATCACTATTGTTTCATATTCTTTAATTTTATCGAAGCATTTTCTAAGCAATTAATAGTGCAAATAAATATCCTGTTTGAAATTTTATCTTCACATGTTTTTGTTAGATACTTAAATATCACACGAAGAAGATTGTAACACATTTTAAATTCGTTTGCATGAAATTTTGCAACACATTGCTTCACAAATAATAATATTGCATATTACAATATCCATGTGGGAGCTAAATAATGATTTGCCTATCATTGTCTTCACTAAACAAAGGAACGCCATCCATAGTATTTATGAAATCATACGCACACACGTCTCTTACGCTATGAATCTTTGAGTACACATTAAGTTACCTCATTCTTCATTACGATAACCAAACCCAATCACAAACCATATTAGATGAATACATAACAATGACACAACTCACCTGTTGTGTTAGAACCGTGCACTAGCGTCGCCTCCATTACTATCTTGTCCCAGTCGAAAACGTACTCGTGCCCCAGTCGACGAGGTATCTGTTCGATCCTCGCAAGCAACTATCGATCCGCGCGGAGACGATACATCGACGACGCTTACCGCCGCGCGCAAACGCTGTCCGGGGCGCCGCCGTCGCAGCAGCCGCCGCCGCCGCCGTCGCGACGCCTCCGCCGGGTTCTGCCCTCTAGTGGCCGGCGCCGCGAACTATGTTTTAAAAAAGCCCCCGCGTCGCCATTGGCCGAGGAAGGCGGGGGAGCGAAAAACACGCGTGGCGGGGGAGCGTCGGGGGCGAGAGAGGAGGAAGAGAGGATGGCTAAAAAAACGCGGCGAGGAAACGGTAAAAAGATTGGAGGATCACGGTGGGTGCCATGGAAGGTGGGGAGCTGGTCTAGAGATTTGAGTGGGGACGCGGCCGGAGGAGAGACGGAGGGAGAGGCCTAGATTAGACGGCGTAGGCGTGCGCTCGCCCGTGTGTGCACACATGCACGCGTGCGTCTGTGTGAGTACGTGGCTGCCGAGGGGGGCTAGCGTGCGGCTGGGTGCCCGCGGAAGGAGCCAAAGCACGCGGCGAGGCGCGGCGGAGCTGGCTTGGGAGCGCGGGAGAGCCGCGGCGGCCGTGTCAAGCATTTTTCACGTGTCACTTTTCCCGCGCGCGGCATCCATCACGTCGAGCGCGCGCGGCCGTTTCAAAGAAACCCGCCAGAGCGCGTGGTCGCTCGCTCGCCCCCTCGACTGTTGCTCTCCCTCGCTGGCTTCGCCGCCCGCTGCCAATCCGTTGAGGGCGGCCCGCCCACCCGCTCGCAGACTTGCCAAACGTCCCACTCGCGCGAGCACATCAACTCACTTGGCTCGCCGTCCCCCTTCCTTCACGCTCGCGCATTCGTCATGTTCCCGGCCGCGCAGTCCGTCTACTCACGATATTTGCCGACGTCGTCGTCTCAGTATTTCCAGAACAGTCGCCCCCTTTGCTCCTATCCGCTTGTCGCCGTCCCGCGCCGACCGGAGACGGAACCCTGGACCCACATCCATCATCGCCGCCCTTCGCCCTCCCTTCCTCCCGCGAGAAGTAAAAATTGGAAGGAAGCGCGCAGGGCTGCGGCGGCGCGCCCCTGCAACGCGCGCAGCTAATGAGCAGCCTATTTTTAACGCTATAATTAGGTTGGGCGGAGGAAGGGCAGCTGGGCGAGAGGGAGAGTGCAGCAGGATATGGGATGACGCGGGTCTAAGGGCAAGGAGGGTGCCCTTCCGATTGCGAGTGCACTGGAGAAGGGTTTTGTTCGTCCTTCGATCGTCCACTTTTAGGAGAACACCACCATCTCCAATCTTTTCTAAGAAATGTCTACCATATTATTACCCGCTCCAAGATAGAATTCTTGGACTCTATGATTATCGTGCTGGGGGTTTTGTGCGTATCCTGGATGATATTTCTTTTGTTGTTTTCGAAGAAATAGTTTTCAGTGATTTTTCCGAGAGTAGAGATCGATTTTTTGACATGCGTAAGAAATTCAAAAACACGGTTTCCCCGAATAATTTAACATTCAATAAGTGTAGCCTATCAATCATTTATTTGTAGAAGCTCTATTTTGACACCTTATTTCATTTACATAATATTTTTTGCGTTCTTAAAAAAGCTCACAAAATCATTCTAGGATAGCTTAAGAACTGATAATAAACTCATTAAAGAGAGAAGTGTCACAATTGATTTGAAATATTTTTCTTTTCCTTATTGAATCTCTTCCTCCCGACTTTAGTGATAAACTTTCATGCAGATCGTAATGCATCTTGATGAGCCTTTCAACATTTAATCTTCATGCAAGATGGGCGCGGTACCTCATTGGGCGTCATGTATTGGTACTATTAGCATGCGAGTCCTGTGAATAATTATTGCGTTTCTTATTATTAGTTTCGTTTGTGCGCCTCCTGCTAATTGCACTTGTGGGTCGGCGCGTGCGTGACCCCTTGTATCTGCTTCACGCCCGCGGGGGCGGACTCTGAGCTGGCAAGACG